TATATATATGTATGTGTATATATATATATATATATATATATATATATATATATATATATATATATATGCTGATTACCAATCTGATTGAAAACAGCCTATTAAATATTATTGTTGCAACTGAATCATGTTAAATGCCAATGACCTAGGGTGTTTCTAAAATAAAATAATAAAATATAAAATAAATACTAAAAATAAAATAAAATGTATGTCAAGAAATTAGTCATTTAAAATGAAATAAAATTAGAATGGACATGTTTCAGAAGAATTGTTTCTTTACTTTTGCTTCATAAAACAACATTATCAAATATAGTTATATATTTAATATAATCTGAATTTAACAGAACTCCTGGTGTCTTCATAGAGACACAATTTCCTTTCCAAGGAAAATGGGCAGATATTGTGCTCTGGACTCAAAACAGTCTTCAAGGGGCATCCCCTGCTGGAAGAGAGAGTTATGTATGTTACTGGAATGGTATATCCATAATAACAAGATTTTTTTTTCTAATTAGAGGCTAGCAACGACCATATAATAATAATACATCTAACAATAACTATATACTCGCATGTGGAATCTCCCTAGCACAAATAATAGATAAAGTTTATTTCAAGGGCCTATCTTAAGACACTGTTGCTTAGGGCTAGTCTGCCTGGTTATCTGAACTAATGATCAGATAATTATTTCTGAAGAACATAAATAGATAATGTCATCCTTTATTAATCTACCACTCAAAGTGACTCCAGAGTACATTTTTCTGCTCCATTTTCAAAGTGTGTCTCTAAAGTGCTTTTGCAAAAGGCAATTGGACTTTCTTTGTTTTTCCTTGAAGACATTTTGCTTCTGCCTAGCAGAGGCGATGAAGCTTTTTGTATGAGAAGTGAAAGGTCTTCAAGGAAAAAGCACCTTTGAGACAACCATGACCTGGATGATTGAGAATCTCCATAGATTTTCAAAGAATGTTTTCCCATGTTATATTGTCACTAATGCTTCTATCTGTTTTGGACAGCATACAGGTAGTCCTTGTCTTTTGATCACAATTGAGCCCAAAATTTCTCTTGCTAAGTGAAACATTTGTTAAGTGAACTTTGCCCCATTTTATGACCTTTTGTGCCACAGTTGTTAAGTGAATCACTGCAATTGTTAAGTTAGTAACATAGTTGTTATGTGAATCTGGCTTTGCCATTGACTTTGCTTGTCAGAAAGTAGAAAAAATGTGGACTTGTGCGGATGCTAAAAAATACTGGACTAAAATCCACATGTGGTTGGAAAAAATGACAAAAAAACATATAGACTTGAAACCAGAGATATTTTTATTGGGAATTTTACCTGAAATATATAGTAAAGACTTGAAATACCTCATTGTAAATGTATTAACAGCAGCTAGGATTGTATTTGCTAAAAATTAGAAAAATTAGAAAATACCATCACAGGAGGAAATCATTAAGAAAATATTGGAATGTGCTGAAATGAGTAGATTGACATTTGAAATTAGAGAACAAGAGGATAAACAATTTTATACAATTTGGAATCTATTCTATCAATGATTAGACAATAAAATACAGTAATGAAATATGTAGACTTTTAGAAAATAATAAATATATAAAGATGTACTTCTTTCTTATTATATCTACAAAATGATTTTAGGATAGATTTGGGGTGATAATATGAACTGTTATAAAACAAACTAAGTAAATTATGATTATCTTGTAAAACATGAATGAATAAAAGTATAGTCAAATGATTGATTAATAATGATACTAAGGTATTTAATTTTTGATTGAAAATATGATATTATATGCAATATAATTGTAATTGAAGACTACAAAATGGAAGCACAAAACAATTTGTAAACCAACCGGCACACTGTATGCACACATATGGAAGATGGCTTGATGTTTTTATGTTTTGTTTGTTTATGTTTGTTTTGAAAAACCAATAAAAATTAAAAAAAAAAGAAAGTAGAAAAAATGTGATCATGTGACCATGGGACACTGCAACTGTCATAAATATGAGTCAGCTGCCAAGTGGCTGAATTTTAATCACATGACCATGGGCATGCTGCAGTGGTCGTAAGTGTGAAAAACGGTCATAAGTCATTTTTTCAGTGCCGTTGTAACATCGAATGATCACTAAATGAACGGTTGTAAGTCACAGACTAAAGCAAACTTTAGCTTACTGTGTACTAACCCCAGCAATTTATTGGATACTTAAAATAGAACTGTTCAAACAAGTCAATGCGTGTGTGTATGTATGTGTGTGTGTGTGTGTGTTCAATTTCACTTTTATTATATAGTATGCAAAAATGTAAGATATATCCAGACAGAGCCAAGGCAAGTAATTAGCAAACCAGGAAGGCACTTCCAGTGGGAAGACTAGACCGTGTGAGATTGAATACATCTGGAAGTGGATTTGGATTGAGGCAATTAAATTCCAAGAACAGTATGATCCCCAAACACTATACTGCAGAAGAACTCACAAAGATTATATTTCAGCAGAATTACCCAGGCATAATCATAACAACCATGATTAAATGGGTAAGCTGCTACAATGGGGATGGATGAAAATATTTGGTAATAACGGATATTTATCCAATAAAGGCAGGTCTTTTGAATGATTCATATCAATAACTTTGATATTCTTTCCTTGACATTTAAAGCAGATTTAGTTGAGTAACTTTATTTTTTTTAATCTAATGACTGATTTTACAGTGCAGCTTTTGTTAACCCCATTTGTAACTTGCACCTCACATACTACAAATCATTCGCTGAAGAAAAGAAGTATTGATATGGAACGAAAAGTATGCATAAATCTGATGTCCGAAAACAGGCTACTACACTCATGGCTTTTATTTTTTATTTTTTTTTAAGAAATCATTTATAAATTGTGTTTATAATATTAGAAATTCATGAAACACTTTTACTGTTGAGGTTGGCTTGACTCAAACATTCTGATATTAAATGTTTGAAAGAAGGCCTTTGTGAAGCAGATTTTCTCATGAAGGTATGAGATTCCAATGGGAATAGTAAACAACAGAAGGCCTTCATTTTCCTCTTGTGTATTTCAGGTTTTTTGAAATAGCTAATAGGCAGAACATACAGGCAGCTAAATCTCTGCACTTTCATTTTTTATTCAAAGGTTAACAGTACTGAACTTTTTAACAATGCTTTATTTAGAATATTCTTTTGATGTTTCATGCTACTAAAAGAAGTATATACAGTGACTGGATGAAGATAACAAGTATCTTATTACAAACATTAAATGAGATGCTTTTTCTCTCTATTTCCATGTTATTCCAAAACATACAAGTTTGTAGTCTCGGGCTACTTTGCTATCATAAATGTTATCTAGAACTATTAATATAGAGGGACCATAGATATTTATTTATTTGATGTTCTGAATCTGATGAGATCCCACTTCTGAAAGGACCTCATGGTAAAGACTGCAATGACGACACTATTAAAGCCAACCTCTTTAGCACATTCTTTGGCTCAGTATTTGTAAACAACAATGGATCACGCCCAGTATTTCCTAGTCGAACCACAGACAACTACAATGATCTAATACGTATCCATTTTACAGAAGGCAATGTTGAAAAAGCACTATGCAATCTAAAACCATCTCTATCTATTGGACTGGAGGGAATATGTGCCTACTTCTTAAAAAAGCTATCCACTGCCATAGCCGAACCTCTAAGCATAATCTTTGAAAAATCTTTCAGGACCAGCTCCTTGCCAAAACTATGGTCACAAGCCACAGTCATCCCCATCTTCAAAAAGGGGGACCCCACCCTAGTTGAAAATTACAGACCAATCTCTTTATGCTGCGTCACCTGTAAAGTCATGGAATCAATTATTAACCAATCCATTATCCTCCACTTAGAGACAAACAACCTACTCTCTAATAAACAATTTGGTTTCAGAAAAAAACTATTCTGTAATCTGCAACTCTTACACTGCAAAAACATATGGACTACACAACTCGATCAGGGCAAAGCAATAGACACAATCTACATAGACTTCTGTAAAGCCTTTGATTCAGTGGTACATGACAAACTACTACTAAAACTAAAATCTTACGGTATCTCTGGACACCTGCATAGCTGGATAGAAGCATTCCTGTCAAACAGACAACAAATGGTTAAAATTGGGAGTGTCCTATCAAATTCTGTACCTGTCAACAGTGGTGTCCCCCAAGGCAGTGTTCTAGGACCAACTCTCTTCATACTCTACATAAATGACCTCTGATCATATTAAGAGCAACTGCGTTCTCTTTGCTGATGATGTAAAGCTATTCAGACAATACTGCTACCCTTCAAAAAGACCCCGACTATGTATCAGAATGGTCAAACAAATGCAACTTCAAATCTCAACAAATAAATGCTCTGTCTTACATATTGGCAAAAAAATCAAAAAATAAAATACAGGCTGAATAGTCAAGACCTTGTTGATGATCCAAACTCTGTCAAGAATCTTGGAGTACTCATCTCTAATGATCTAAGTGCTAGAGCCCACTGTAACTACATAGCCAAAAAGGCATTAAGAGTTGTTAACCTAATCTTACATAGCTTTTTCTCTGGTACTATTACACTACTAACTAGAGCATACAAAACATTTGCTAGACCAATACTCGAATACAGCTCATCAGTCTGGAACCCACATTGTGTATCTGATATTAACACAGTTGAGAAAGTCCAGAAATATTTCACAAGAAGAGTTCTCTACTCCTCTACTCATTGCAGAATACCTTAT